CCAAAACAAATGCATTCTTGCCAGGTGCTGGTGGCTCACACCTGTCATCCCAGCTACTCAGAAGGCTGAGACCTGAGGACTGTGGTTCAAAAGCAGACCAGGCTGCTGGTCCTGAGGCTTCAACTCAGATCCTGGGCGCTGTCTCTGAGCTTCTTTTGTTCAAGACGAGCCTTCTAGCACATGGGCCATAGTGCCACTTGTGGCTTTTTTGAGTAGCTGGTTGGGGATGAGAGTGGCCAGAATTTCCTACCTGACTAAGAACCCTGATGCTCAGAACTTAGCCTCCTGAGTGGCTGGTATGACAGGTGGGAGCCACAGGCGCCCAGCTAAGAAAAGTACTCTTTATCTGACTTACATACCAGCAATGCCACCGGCACATCACCTTTATACTAATGATTAAAAATTAAAAGAACGAGAATCTCAGATCTGAGGATCAAGTTTCAAACCAAATGAGGCAGAAAAATCCAAGAGACTTAAGGAGGGAAAAGCCAGAAGTGGAGGATTCTGTTCTAGCAGTGAACAAAAAAGCCAACTGAGAAGAGGAGGATCATAGTTCAAGGCCCAGGACTGGAAAGAAAGAAAGATGAAACAAAGAAAGAGAGAGAGAGGGAGAGAGAGAGAGGGAGAGAGAGGGAGGGAGAGAGAGAGAGAAAGAAAGAAAGAAAGAAAGAAAGAAAGAAAGAAAGAAAGAAAGAAAGAAAGAAAGAAAGAAAGAAAGAAAGAAAGAATAAAAGAGGAAGGAAGGAGAGAAAAGAAGAAAGAGAGGACAGGGTCTTCTTTAAAATACTCCACCTCTTGTGTGTGTGTGTGTGTGTACGCGCGTGCATGCATGCACGTGTGTACTTATCCTGGGTCTTGAACTTAGGGCATGGACACTGTTCCCGAGCTCTTTTATTGAAGTCTAGCCCTTTACCACTTTGAGTCACACCTCCAGGTCCAGTTGTCTGGCAGTTCCTTAGAAATAAGAGTCTCACAGACTTTCTTCCCAGGCTGGCTTTGAACCTTGATCCTCAGATCTCAGCCTCCTGAATAGCTGGGATTGCAGGTGTGAACCACGATTGCTCAGCGACCTCTTCTTATTCTGTGATAGGAAATGCGATTTCCTTTCTCAATGAAGGAGAATGCTGGAAACATGGCATTCTCGTTCATCTTCCACAGGCTGGCATTCTGGTGAGCACATGAGTTTCTCCTGTTTGACCAGGTGTCAGGAACACCATATGGAAGATAACATCTATTTGTGTGCCATTTCCAATCCTGTGGACAAGGTTTACATTTGTGCCCTGGAAGGAAAGCGTCCTTTTATGTGAATAGATCTTCAGCCTCTTGCTATTTCCTGTCATCTCTATGGAACATTGACCAAGTTCACTGTGTTTTCTTCGGGTCATTATTTTATCTTATTTTGTGCAGTTCTGGGGCTTGAACTCAGAATCTCCTGCTCTTCCTTAGCTTTTTCACCCAATGTGATCCTCTACCATTTGAGCCTCAACTCCATTTCTGGGGTTTTTTGGGGAGAGGGTAGTATGGGCTTGAACTCAGGGCCTGGGCACTGTCCCTCAGCTCTTCAGCTCAAGGCTAGTGCTCTACCACCTGAGCCACAGCACCACTTCTGGCTTTTTCTGCTTATGTGTTGCTGAGGAATCGAACCCAGGGCCTCATTCATGCAAGGCAAGCAGTACCACTGAGCCACCTTCCCAGCTCCCCACTTCTGGCTTTTTGCTGGTTCACTGGAGAGAAAAGAGTTTCACAGACTTTCCTGCATGGGTTGACTTGGAACCATGATCCTCAGAACTCAACCTCTTCTGTAGTCAGGATGACAGGCATGAGCCACCAGTACCTGGCTTTTACTGACTGAAATTGTGAAATGAGAGAGAATTTCTCTAGAGAAATGTGTTTTCCTATCTATCATTTACTGATCATAACAGTAAACAGATTTTACATAACCTTTGTGATAGTTAAAATACTAAGTAAATTGTGATTAGAGAAATTGATTTAATTGTACTTGCATAAAGGTGTTGATGAAAGAAAATGCAAATCTTTTCAATACTCGTGTATAACCAGTATACCTGGGTAATTTGGTATTGCATAGCTATTATTACTTTCTGATTTTCTTCTATGTGAAACTGTTACAATGCCATGGATTAGGCTTAATTCCTTTCTTAATCAATGGTTCCAGCAGGGTACAAGAAGCCCATGCCTGAATCCCAGTTACTCAAGAGCTTGAGATGTGAGGATCCTGACTCCAGTCCAGTCCAGACAGAAAAGTCCCTGAGACACTTCTCTCCAAGGAACCACCAGAAAACCGGAGTGCTTCATGTGGGGGATTAATTTTATAAATTGAATAAGCTCATTTCATAAATTGCCTGAACTACTGCAAATGGACTGAGCTTATTTTTTACTGTATACACTAGAGTGAGTGCACACTCACTCAGCTGATTCTGACGCCTTCCATTCTGCCCTGTCCACCTTTGGATTCTCTCTTTCCTGCCCCCTTTCAAATCCCAGTTGTGGTCAAAGCAGATCCCTGTACTAAACGTTCAGTACCTCATCCGCCACACGGAGACAACTCTGCACCAGGGCCAGCATCCCTTCCCTTGTTTGTTTGTTTGTTGGTTGGTTGGTGATGGGGTTTGAACTCTGGGCCTGGGCGCCGTCCCTCAGCTCTTCAGCTCAAGGTTGGCGCCACTTCTGGCTTTTTCTGCATATGTAACACTGAGGAATTGAACCCAGGGCTTCATGCATGGTAGGCGAGCACTCTACCCCTAAGCCACATTCCCGGCCCTACATTTAAATTCTTTAAGCCATACGTTGAAGTAACGTCTTTGTAAAACTATGTTATGTATTCATTGTAGGGATATCATTGGGTGAGGGCATTCTCTATTTGAGGGTACTGTGTATATGTGTGCATGTATGTATACATACATACTTTTTATATATACTTTATATATACATTATATGTTGTACATCTACATCTATATTATTGTATTCACATATAATATACATAAAGTATATATGTATGCTATGTATACATGTTTTATACTATATAACACATGTATATTCATATATACATACATGTATATGTGTGTACGTATATATGTATATATATATTCCCAGTAAATTCCAACCTCTGTTCATTCTCTGTCGCCTCCTTGTGGCCATTGATTTATCTGCATTTTTGTTTTTGGTTTGTCTCCTTTAGGACTTTGGTCCCTTGGGGATTGTGATCATTACTTTTTCTATTTCTTTTTTTATAAATGATTTTGAGTTAATTCCAATGCTGGTACCCTTCACACATTAGTTAATTTAGGCTTCTGCGACATAAACACAAGATGAGAGAGCAGAATGGTGCGTGAAGAACCTAATGAACGTATAAACCCGAATTTTCTCATCCAAGTTAAAGGTCTTCTTTACTTACCGTGTGTGTTCTGTTATTCCTGGCAGGGCACAGTCTGTCTGGTGCATTCAACTCAATCAGGAACAGCATGAGAGGCTGACATCGGTGGCTCACACCTGCAATCCAGCTACTCAGGAGGCTGAGATCTGAGGATCTCAGTTCAAAGCCAGCCTAGGCAGGAAAGTGCATGAGACTCTTATTTCCAATGAACCACACAAAAAGCCAGAAGGGGCTGTGTGGCTCAGTTGGTCAAGCACCCGCTTTGAGGAAGAGCACAAGACCTTGAGTTCAAGTCCGGCACTAGCACAAAAAGAAAGAAGAAAAGAAACACCAGGAGGGTTGAGGGTATTCCCAGGTTTTGAATGAAGATGGAGTCATCTTCCACTGAGCTGGGAAATCACACGGGGAAGTCCCTCATTCTTTTTTGATGTGTTCAATTGGATATCTTATAATATATCTAAGTCAGTATGTCAAGAACCCAGGCAGATGTGTGGAGCAGGGATCCAGGCGTGGACTGGACATCTTTGGTGTACGGCTGCTACATAAAACCATGAATCCAGAGAAGCAGGATTGAAACTCTGGTGCACAGCACTTTGGGTCAGTTAATGAGGAGTCAGTGAACCCAAGGAGAAAGGTCACAGGAAGTTAAGAGAGAGTGGGGAGGGAGGCCAAGGGCCAGTTCACACCTATAATTCCAGCTACTCAGGAGGCTGAGATCTGAGGATCACGGTTCAAAGCCAGCCCAGGAGACTCTTATCTCCAACGAACCAGCAAAAAGGTGGAAATGCAGTGGTGGCTCAAGTGGTAGAGGACCAGCCTTGAGCAAATCAAAAACCGTCCAGGGCTGAGGACCAGGCCGCCGTGGGATGGGTGTGTGTGTGTGTGTGTGTGTGTGTGTGTGTGGTAATCTTGCAGCTGATCTTGTTGACATTGGTAAGAAATAGAAAGATAAGCGAGCTGCATCCTCATACAAGTTACTTCACCTCAAAGATTAAGAAGCCAAGGTCATCTTAGCTCTCCAGAGAGGAGGGAGATCACTGATTTCATGGCACCTGGATAGGATCTTAATTTTACTGTTCATCCGGTCAGGAGGATGAACAGGGATACAAAGACACACCATGTGCTCCATCATGGAGCTTCTTGTTCCCATAATGCCTTGCGATGCTCAAAGGCTTCCTCTTCCCATGATGCTCTCAGTGCCTGCTCAACCAATGAGAAGATCCGGGGTGGGGAAGGGACAAGCTCTCAACCAATCAGCACCAAGCCCAGGGGCGGGGCTATGGGAGGAGCCTGCCCTGCATGAACCAACCTTCAAGGGGCCGCCATGACTCCTGTCTGGGCTCCTGGCCAGAGGGTGGGTTTCCCTACTTTATTTTGCAGCTCTCCTGTCACTGTTGAATGCGTTGACTGTGTTTCTGACCCCAGCTGACAGCAGGGGACACAGGATGAGCTTTAGGGGCAGCCAGTGGTGAATGGGAACAAAAATGGCACCATGAACTGGACTTGGCCTTTTCTCCTTCTTTGCCATTTTCCTTCTTCCCTTCTTTCCTTGCTGGCTTGCTTCCTTTTTCTCTTCCTTTCTCCCTTTTGCTATCTGACTTGCACTCACTTCTGCATCTGCCTGCATCGTGTCTCTGAGTTGTGACCATGGTCCCTTCCTCTGCTCATGATGGATGGACCTCCACTGTGGACCAAGGACCCTCCTTCCCAGAAATACAGTCGCCTTTTGTTGTGTTTTGTTTTCATTTTTTGGCTGTTGTTGGTACCAGAGCCTCCCTTTAGCTTGATTTGCTCACTAAGCTGGTTCGTGACCACTTGAGCCACACCTCCAGTCTCGGTTTTTGCTGGCTCCCTGCGATGGAGTCTGGAGGACTTTTCAAAGCCCAGGTTGGCTTTGAACTGTGATCTTCCAGGTCTTAGCCTCCGGAGAAGCTATAGACATACACCTTTTCCATGCTTGGTTGCTTTATGGTAGTTTAACTCATGAGACATGGCTGGTTCTTAGGAATTCCAATCTCGGCCTTGTTTGTATTCTCTCTCTCTCTCTCTCTCTCTGTCTGTTTCTCTCTCTCCTACCCTCTTAGAATTCTAGGGAGGTAGCTTCTAAGATGCTAGGTAAGCAGGTAGCTAAGTAGATGATAGACAGAGGGAACTTTAAGAAAGTTTGGGTCTCTAAGGAGTCCAAGTAGCTAACGGGGCCTACATTCAACATGGAGTCTGGTAGCTCAGCCATGTTGGGGCTGAGCAGTCACACCTGCAGCCTACACTTCTGGAAGATTCATTGTAGCATCGCACAACCATATTCCTGTTTGATTTTCCAAGCTAAGCAACCTCCCTCCCTGAGCCTGGTCAACCAGCTGCGACTGGCCGTCCACCAATCAGGACGGAGGACTCCTGTGGGCTGGACGCCCCCTTTGCACAGCGGGTATCAGTGTGACAGAGATGAGGGAACTTCCTCTATTTCCCTCCCCAGCTAGCACACTTCCTTTTTACCGCCGTTGGTAGAAGAAGTTTTGACTTTTGTTTATAACAGAACTTCCCTTTTTGTCTTCAAGTCTTTCCCAGTGGATTTTTGTTAAGCATAATAGATGATGGAGACATAGTTTAATAATAGCCACTGCATATACCCCAAATCCCTGGGGAAACGTCGCTTTTTTTCCTTTTTTTTTTTTTTTTGTCGGTCATGGGGCTTGAACTCAGGGCCTGGGCGCTGTCCCTCAGCTCTTCAGCTCAAGGCTGGCGCTCTACCATGTGAGCCACAGCGTCACTTCAGCTTTTTCTGCTTTTGTAGTGCTGAGGAATCGAACCCAGAGCCTCATGCATGCCAGGCAAGCGCTCTACCACTGAGCCACCTGCCCAGGCCCCATTCTCTCTTTCCTGAACCTTCATTCTCTTACTGGATGTTTAATGTACATTACTGAATCTCCAGCAAGGATTTGTTGTGCTTCTGACAAACTCTTCATATTAGAGAGATTTCTGGCTTTATTAAAATGTTATTATGGCCCACATCTCACGCCTGTCACCCCAGCCACTCAGGAGGCTGAGATCTGAGGATCATGATTTGAAGCCAGCCCGGGCACAAAAGTCCATGAGACTCTTATCTCCAAAAGACTACTTAGAAAAAAGCCACAAGTAGCCCTGTAGCTCATAGGGTAGAGCGTCAGCCTTAAGTAAAAGAATCTCAGGAACAATGGACAGGCCCTGAATTCAAGCCTCAAGACCAGCACACAAAAAAAATGTTATTATGTCTGGCTAATATTATGTTCGGCAAAAGCTCTTCCTACATCAATTGAAATGATAATTTTCTCCCTCTCATTTTCCCCAAAGTGTTAATGAAGCTATATCATGAGAAAAAAATCCAAGTTGCTTGTAGTGTATTTATGGTTGCCATCTACTGTTGCATTTAACATTCTTTGGTTTTCTATCAGGTTGAAAATTTCCAGGTGGATATGTGGGAAAGCAGGGAGGCTGAGAATCTAAGGATCAACGTTGGAGGCCAGCCAGGGCAGGAAAGTCCATGAATCACCTAAAACCCAGAAGTGGAGCTGTGGCTGAAATGGTAGAGCACCAGCCTAGCATGATAAAGCTCAGCGACAGTGCCCACACCGTGAGTTCAAGCCCTGTGACCGACAGAAATAAAGAAATGAAGAATTCTAGATTTCACAGGGAAAGACTGTCTTGGTGCTGGACAGAGTCTGGACTGTAGGCTGAGGGTCGGCATGACTGACTTTCTTTCACAGATGAGGGTTCTGGGTTTCAACTCGGGGCCTGGGTGCTGTTCCTGAGCATTTTTCACTCAAGGCTGGCACTCTACCACTTGAGCCACAGTTCCACTTCCAGTGTTTTGCTACTTTACTGGAGATAAAAGTCTCACTGGGTCTGACCTTGAACCTTAATCTTCAGGTCTCAGACTCCTGAGTAGCTAGGATTATAGGAGTAAAATGCTGGTGCCTGGCAATGGCTTATTTTCTTACACTGAGAAAATGAGGAGCAAGAGGAAAACCAAAAGATATAAATGTTCAGAGAGGCAGACATCTGGTCATACTATTTTAATTCCATTTGTGTGATCCAGGAGACACAGGCTAACATCAGGACTGCATCTTCTAACTGCAGGACAGCATCTGAAGCAAAATGATTTTTTTTAAAACCAAGTCCAGGCTTTCATCCGGAGCGTTAACCTCGCACACTTTCTACCTGCCCTGGACCAGCCATTTTCTCACAGATTGTATATCTGTGTCTAAAACAGTAATCATAAGAAATGTGGTCGTTGTATGCCATGTACCCACAAAATATCCCATTTAAGCCAGCGGTGTTGTTCTTCAACCTGAAAGAGGAAAAACAGGAAACTACTTAAGAAGTCAAAGACTTGAAATAGTCACACACACACACACAAATGACCTCTGCTACCTGACATTACGGCCCCGACAGCCTTCATTGCCTAAGAAAAATTACAGTTCATGTGGAGCTCACTGCTTGTCCAGGGAATTTCCCTTCAGCCTGTCAGTTCATGAGCGCCACGCATGTGGATCACGTCCAACCTCTCATCCTTCCCCCCATGTCCCCCCCCAACCCCCCCTCACGTTTTCTGAGGACCAGGGTTCAAAATCACCCAGCCAGGGAAGTCCGTGAGACTCTTATAATGAAATCAAGCAAAATAGTCAGAAGTGGAGCTGTGGCTCAAGTGGTAGAGCTGCAGCACCCTGGCCCCAAGGAGTTCAAGTCCTGGGAAAAGGATAGGAAGAAAAGAAAGTCTCTATCATCAGGCTACTGCTAGTGTCTTCACAAAGTAAGGCTATCTGTGCATTATTCTTATGTAGGTTTTGGTACTGGATCTTAAACTTGGGGCCTGGACACTACATCAGAGATTTTGTGCTAAAGGCTAGTGCTCTACCACTTGACCACAGCGCCATTTTGATCAGTGTTTTGGTAGTTAATTGGAGATGAGTGTCTCATGCACATTTATGTCAGAGCTGGCTTCGAACCGCCATCCTCAGATCTCAACTTTCCTGAGTAGCTCGGATTACAGGCATGACCATCAGCACCCGGCTATGTGATAATTTTTGGCATGATTACATTCATTAGAGAAGTCTGACATGGCAGGTATGTTTAAGGGTATTTCAACAATCTATCATTTTCCTGAGGCAAACGGAGGTTAAAAAATAGACTTAAAACAATAATAGGAAAAAAAAACCAAAATAGAAACTCACCAGATATCAGACATGATACTGTCATCCACTCTCACATAGTAGTTTGTGTTATCTTGTCTAGGAGATGCTCCAAGCCAATAGTCATATAACCCCATGGACTTTACAAAATCCTAAGAAACAAAGATGCTTTGTGTACAAAGTTATCTCTGGCTGGGTATAGTGTCTCCCGCCTGTCACCCTAGCTACTCAGGAGGCTGAGATCTGAAGATCAGGATTCAAAGCCAGCCAGGACAGGGAAGTCCATGAGACTCTTATCTCCAGGGACCTACCAGAAAACCCCAAAAATCCCTGAAGAGGATCTGTGGCTCAAGTTGGGGAATGTCAACCTTGAACAAAAAAGCTCATGGACAGCATCCAGGCCCTGAGTTCTAGCCCTGGGACTGGCACAAAAATAATGATCTCTGCACATACTTCTGCGAATCACCATTCTAATTATTGTTTGAAAAGAATTACTTTCAAAATTGCATTACGTGTGTGTGTGTGTGTGTGCACTCAAGTGTTACTCAAGACCCTGAGTTCGAGTCCCATGTCTGGCATATAAAAAAAAAGAAAGAAGGAAAGAAGGGAGGGAGGGAGGGAGGGAGGAAGAGAAAGACAGAAAGAGAGAGAGACAGAGAGAGAAAGAAAGAAAGAAAGAAAGAAAGAAAGAAGAAAGGAAGAAGGAAGAAGGAAGGAAGGAAGGAAAGAAGGGAGGAAGGAAGGAAGGAAGGGAGGAAGGGAGGAAGGAAGGAAGGAAGGAAGGGAGGAAGGAAGGAAGGAAGGAAATCTAGTAAAGTCGGCACAGGTCAGTGTAAGAGGCATCTCAGAAGCCATCCAAAATTTTGGAAGCCATAGATCTAATATTTTGTCCTTATTTCTCACTGGACTATATTTTGTGGCGTCAGTAACTATCAGTGAACCGATTGAGAAAGATCCAACGAGAAAAACACAACATATTCCCCTTCTTCTAGAAAGAACGAAAGACCTTTCGGTCCTGGGGCTTGAACTCAGGGCCTGGGCGCTGTCCCTGAGCTGCTTTTTCTCGCTTCCAGTGTTCTGGTGGTTCATTGGAGATCAGAGTCTCATGGACTTTCTGGCCCAGGCTGGCTTTGAACCTCACTCTCCAGCTCGCAGCCTCCTGAGGAGCTGGGATGACAGGCGGGAGCCATGGGTGCGTGGCCGCCTCTTCTTATTCTGTGATAGAAAATGGGATTTCGTTTCTGACCGAGAGACTCACGGACGTACCAGGGCATCCTTGTGGTTAATCTTCAGCAGGCTGGCGTTGCGGTCGGCGCATGACTTTACGCTGTTTTGCCACGTGCCAGAAACGCGGTGTAGAAGGTAGCATGCATCTGCATGCCAGATCCAGTTCTGCGCACAGGGATTGCACGTGTGCTCTGGAAGGAAAACACCCTTTGCTTTGTTTTATGTGGCTAGATCTTCAGCCCTTACTTCTCTATGGGACGTGGACCCAGCTTACTGCTTTTTCATCTGGTAATATTTAAGTTTGTTTTGTGCCAGTTTTGGGGCTTGAACTTGGGATCTCACGTCTCGCTTAGCTTTTTCAGTGAAGGCTGATCCTCTACGATTTGAGTCACGCCCCCACTTCTGGTTTTTGCCGGTTCACTGGAGAGAAGACTTTCCTGCATGAGCTGGCTTTGAACCATGATCCTCACAACTCAGCCTCTTAAGTAGCTCGGATGACAGGCGGGAGCCGCCAGTGCCCGGCTTTTACTGGGTGAAAGTTTGCAATGAAACCGGGTGTAGAGAAGTGTGTTTTCCTATCTATCCTTTACTGAGCTTAAAATACATTGGGATTTTTTTACATCACCTTTAACATAACAATAAGAATTTCTCAGTGTAAATTCAGATGAGAGAAATTGATTTAATTATGCCTTAGTCATTATACCTTAGCAGACTGAGGAAAATACATGTTGTCTTAATACGCTTGTAAAGCCAGGATACCTGGGTAATTGAGTGTTGTACAGGTATTATTGTTCTCAGATTTTCTTCTAAGTATATGGACGGTCAACAGTGCATTATGGTGCTTAATTCCTTTCTTACTCAGTAGTTCTAGCTGGGCAGTGGTGGCGGGTGTCTGTAATCCTAACTCCTCAGGTGGCTGAAATCTGAGGATTAGTGTTTAAAGTAAGCCTGGGTGGGAAAATCTTACAATATCCAGGAACAATCAGTAGTGGTGCTGTGGCTTAACTGGTTGAGCTCCATGCAGCCTAGAGCAAAAAAGCTAAGGGACACAGCCCAGGCCCCGAGTTCAAGCCCCAGGACCCCAACACACACACACACACACACACACACACACACACACACTCTGTAGCTTTAGTTCCTGGTCTCATACGCAGCCCTCTGGGTAGTACAGAATTACCTGGCTCTTTTCTCCGTAGCTCATGACCCAGCCAGGTGGCCAGGGTTTGCACGGTGATAGAGAGGTTCTGGATCTTCTCAGAACTGTTGACAATCCCCATTTGTTGTAGGGACACGTTTCTCTGAAGTTCCGCTTGGATATTTTGCAATTTATAAACTCCAAATCCAGAGAGAGACACACAGAGAGAGAGATTTAAAAAAGAAACTTGTAAACCTTCAATATCATGACCTTAAAAGTTGTTTTGCACAAGGAATACTAAAAAAGACCAAAAGAGGAACAGGAGGCGTGGTTTAAGTGGTAGAACGCCAACTGTGAGGAGCAGGAGCAGGAGCACTAGGCTTGGAACTAGACACCAGTGGCTCCCGCCTGTCATCCCAGCTGCTCAGGAGGCTGAGATCTGAGGATCACAGTCAGAAGCCAGCCTGGGCAGGAACGTCCCTGAGACTCTTATATTCAACGCACCACCAGAAAATCAGAGGTGGAGCCGTGGCTCAAGTGGTAGAGCACCAGCCTTGAGTGAGAAAGCCCAGAGACAGCGCTCAGGCCCTGAGTTCAAGCCCCACGACCAGCAGCACATCCAAAAAAAAGGGGTGATACGTACGTATGATCCCCAAGATTCCTAGTCCAAGGAGGAGGAGGAGGAGGAGGAGAGTGAGACCCAGGGCTATTTTAACCCATAAGTGTGAAGGCAGCGGACACACTGTGGAATAGGAAACAATGAAAGGTTCTCAAGACAGTGTTCAGTTGCATTCATTCATACAATGTCATTCATTCATTCGTTTTGCCTGTCTGTCTTTCCTACTGTGCAACCTGCAAAATCATTTAATTTGTTTGACGCTCTAAGACACGAAAACAAAATCCTCTGATCAAGATGCACAGTACTCACACCATGACCGGGTGAATTGAAACCCTTTGCGCAAGTACTTACAGATGTAAAGCAAAACAGCCAGCACCCAGCTGCTTATTCCTTAAATCCCAGCTACTCAGGAGGCTGAGATCTGAGGATCTCAGTTCAAAGCCAGCCAGGGCAGGAAAAAAAAATAACCAGGAGACTCTTATCTCCTAGGAAGCAGCAAAAAAACCCTGGAAGTGGAGTTGTGGCTCAAGGGGTAGAGCGCTAGCCTTGAGCAGGAAGAGCTGAGGGACAGCGCCCAGGCCCTGAGTTCAAACCCTGTGACCAACAAAACAAAAACACACTAGAAATGGCACTAATGCTTTGAGTTGTTGTTTAGCCCGTTTTTATGCCAGTATCAGGCCTTGAACTCAGGACCTGGGTGGTGTCGTGACAGTTTTTTTTTCCCTAAGGCTGGTGCTCTACCACTTGAGTCACATCTCTAATTCCAGCTTTTTGGTGGTTAACTGATGATGAGTCTCACAGACTTTTCTGCCTTGGCTGGCTTAGAACTGTAATCCTCAGACCTCAGTGCACTGAGTAGCTAAAATTACAGAAGTGAAACACACAACCAGTGAATTATTCTTTTTCTGTGTCTGTGGTCCTGAGGAATCGAACCCAGGACTTCATGCATGCTAGGCAAGCACTCTACCATTAAGCTGCATGCCCAGCTCAAGGTGACTTATTCTTAAATCATTACAGGATATCTATTTTGAGCATGTAAAGGCTATTTCAAATAGATGTATTCTCGTAAAACATGATAATCTAACCACACTTCTGAAACACAGGAAATCCATCGTCTTACGCCACAGTTGATGCCAAATTAACGGTAACCAGAAAGCACTGGAAAAAACATTATGAAACTTCATTTCTTTAGATGGAGGAAAATGACCTTCACTGAAAAGAACAAGGTCAAGATTTTAGCGTATGTCAGAATGATAAATTCAAGAGTTGCTTTAGGCCAGGCACTGGTAGCTCACGCCTGTAATCTCAGCCACTCAGGAAGCTGAGATCTGAGGATCGTGATACAAAGCCAACCCGGACGGAAGGTCCACGGGACATTTTTATTTTTTTATTGGTCCTGGATTGAAACTCTGGGCCTGGGCGCTGTCCCTCAGCTCTTCAGCTCAAGGCTGGTGCTCTACCACTTGAGCCACAGCGCCACTTCCAGTTTTCTGGTGGTTCATGGGAGATCAGAGTCTCACAGACTTTCCTGCCCGGGCTGGCTTTGAACCGCGATCCTCAGATCTCAGCCTCCTGAGCAGCTGGGATGACAGGCGGGAGCCACCGATGCCCAGACACACAGGGATTTTGTTTCCAATGAATCAGCAAAATGATGGACGTGAAGCTGTTGTTCAACTAGTAAAGCACCAGCCGTGAGCAAAAAAGTCATGCGAGAGTTCCTGGCCTTGAGCTGAAGCCTCAATACTGGCAAGCAGAAGTGTATGCATGAGCATGTGCGCACACACACACACATGCACACACATGCACACACACGCACACACATGCACACACACGCACACACACACATACACACACAGAGTTTGGAGCTTTTGGATAATATCAATCAGCACGTAACAGGTAGTAAAATGTCACAGCTCTCTCTGCTTCCCTTGTCCCTCTGTTTGTCTGTCTGTCTATCTGTCTGTTTCTGGCTCTCTCTCTGTCTCTCACTATCTCTGTCTTTGGCTTTCTCTCTCCCTCTCTCTCTTTCTCTCAGTCTGTCTCTGAGACCTTCGGTCTCTTTCTCTTCATCTCTCTTTGTATGACTCTATCTTCTCTCTGTCCCTCTGTCTCTCTATCTCTGTCCCTGGCTGTCAATTTCTGCCTGTTTTCCCTTGTCTCTCTCTGCCTCAGTCTCTTGATCTATTGTTGGCTGTGTCCCTGTCTCTGTCTGTCTCCCGACCTTCCCAGCCTCCCTCTTCTTTCTCTCTTACAGAAATGAAAGGAAAAAGAAAATAACAGAATATATTCAAAGATGGCTTCCCTGGACAGCATGTAATCGTGAGCCACAGAACTGGACACTTTGTACAATTTCAGAACACTTTCCTATAGCTCGATTGTAATATTCAAAAGTAGAACATTTACAAGTGATTGGTTGATTATAAATGATTTCAATCCAGTGCTTGGAAAAAGAGAAGGCTTTGGGGGAGTTTAATTGGCTAAGGACCCCCTCCACTCACTGAACCCCAAGGTGGAAGTCTCGTTTTCATAGCCCACCGTACCACACACTCCCAACTCCACATTCGTACCTTTGGGCTCCACTGTGTCCAACTCCTGGATCTTCTGTGTCTTTCCCGAGTTCTGGAAGTTTAGATCCGCGTAAGTGACTTCTTCAGACATGGAGGGAGGTGGGAAGCAGGTGGAATGAAATGCGGTTGTTAGGAGAAGGCAGAGCTGACTGTTGGACGCTGGACGGAAGGTGGACGCTGACGCTGTTTGATCAGCAGCAGCCGCCGCCCTTCTCCAGCCGACCCCGTGTCTAACCCAGCCGAGCTGATGGACTCCTCCTCTGTGGTCTGCGGCAGCAATGGTGGCTGAGACATAAGGAAGCATTTCACCAAACTCTCTTCCTCTTATCGCCACACATGCCAACGTCAGAAACTAGGCTGTTAAAATTCCCCCCGGCTGAAATCATGCTCAGCATCCCGTTTTTCACTTGGCTAAACTATAATTTGTTGTTCAAAGGACTTACCCCATTGGAATTCAAGTTTTTCACTATACAAAGAAATATCTCTAAAGGATTAAATAACAGATAGTAAAGTTAAAATAAAACATCCTCTCAGCAAGAACAAACAGAAAATACAATCATGGGGCCCGGCGCTGGTGGCTCACGCCTGTCATCCCAGCAACTCAGGAGGCTGAGACCTGAGGATCGTGGTTCAAAGCCAGCCAAGGCAGGAAAGTCAGGGAGACTCTTATCTCCAATGAACCACCAGAAAACTGGAAGTGGAGCTGTGGCCCAAGTGGTAGAGCGCCAGCTTTGAGCAGAAAAGCTCAGGGACAGCGCCCTGAGTTCAAACCCCCAACTCTCCCCACATACACCCAAAACACATGGGGATAAATTAATGAGGTCACTCGAAACCAAAATGAAGAAAATCGATAAACTATTGAAGAAAAAAAAGCACTAAACTGGAAAAGTATACTTTGAGATTAGAAGGGATAAAATTATATATTAGCATACACACATGGATGAAATGCGCTCTAAATGCATTGAAAAATGTCAGCTGCACCAATGGCTCATACCCGTAATCCGTGTGTGTGTGTGTGTGTGTGTGTGTGTGTGTGTGTGTGTGTGTGCAGGTCCTGGGACTTGAACTCAGGCCCGGGCACTGTCCCTGAGCTCTTTCACTCAAGACTAGCGCTCTACCACTTTGAGCCACAGATCCACTTCCGGTTTTGAGTGGTTAGAGATAGGAAATCTCATGGGGATTTTCCTGCCTGGCCTGGCTTTGAACCATGAACCTCAGATCTCAGCCTCTTGAGTAGCTGGGATGGTAGACGTAAGTCACTGGCCCCAGGTGACATATATAAGTTTACGAATGTGTTGATACATCTATATGAACACATCCACACATCCACACACACACATACACTCATGCTTATGTGTATCTGCATATGCACAGGTGTGCGCGGGCGCACACACACACACACACACACACACACACACACACACACACACACACATGAGATGCATCTGGGAGCTACAGGATGCCTAATCTGTCTTCATCACGAAGGTCAGCGGCTGTCTGGGGCAAGTGTCTGAATGGTTCCTCCACTGACCTCTGACCTGCGTGACCCTGGGGGAGGAGGTCCTCACCTGGGTCATGGACTAATTCTTCTGTGACGCGCACAGGGCGAATGGCCGCTCCTCCTCGAACCGCTGGAGAAACGCAACGTGGTTAATTAATACTTGGGTAAAATAATGCTTAGGTGCTCTGCGCATCCTCTCCTTTAAATCTGCCTGACAACATTCTCATGATTACAATTGCAGATGAATTTGGATCAGATACATAAAGAGAGAGACTTGGAAAAATCGCAGGTGAGCCGGGCGCCAGTGGCTCCCGCCTGTCATCCCAGCTGCTCAGGAGGCTGAGATCTGAGGATCAGGGTTCAAAGCCAGCCCAGGCAGGAAAGACCATGAAACTCTTATCTGCAGTGAACCACGGGAAAGCCTGTAGCTCAAGCATACAGCTCATAGCCTTGAGAAAAAGACTTTCAGGGAGAGCATCCAGGCCCTGAGTTCAAATCCCAGGACCGACCAAAACAAAAAACAAAACAGAACTTAGAAATAGCCCTCACGCTTCTTGGGTTGTTTCGGTGTTGGGCTGTTTCTGGGCATAAGACTTGATCTCAGGACCTGGCTGCTGTCCCTGACCATATTTTTGCTTAAGGCTCATGTTTTAGAACTTGAGTCACAGCTCTGCTTTCAGCTTTTTGGAGGTTAACTGGAGAAGCAGAGACTTTTCTGCTCTAGCTGGCTTACAACCATGACCCTCAGATCTCAGCCTCCTGAGTAGCTAAAATGATAGGAATGAGCCACAATCACCCGGTGAAGTATTCTTTTTTTTTCCTTTCCTTTTTTTTTCTTTTTTGCCAGTCCAGGGCTTGAACTCAGGGCCCAGCACCATTCCTGAGCTTCTTGTCCTGAAGGCTGGCACTTACAAACCACTTCTGGTTTTTTCTGATTACGTGATCCAGAAGAATCGAACCCAGGGCTTCATGCATGCTAGGCAAGCACTCTACCACGGAGCCACAGTCCCAACCCAAGGGGAATTATTCCTAAATCATTACAGGATAGTTATTCTCATCCAGGTGGCTATGCAAAAGTTATTTCAAATGAATGCATTCTAGTAAAACATGATAATCTAACCACACTTCTGAAAAAGAGGAAATCCACCTTCTACCTCACAGTCGATGCCAAAATAACCCTCACCAGAGAGAACTGAAAAGAAATTAGGAAACTTCATTTTTTTTAAGAAAGAGGGAAATGACCTTCATTGAAAAGGACAAGGTCAAGACCTTTCGCGTAGGTCAGAATGATACAGTCAGAGCTGCTTTTAGGCCGGGCACCAGTAGCTCACGCCTGTAATCTCAGCCACTCAGGAGGCTGAGATCTGAGCATCGTGATACAGAGCAGCCCGGACAGGAAGGTCCATGAGGCTTTTTATTTCCAAGGACCCAGTGAAATGATAGAAGTGGAGCTGTGGCTCAAGTGGTAGAGCGCCAGCTTTGTGGGGAAGAAGCCAAATGGGGGGTTGAGTTCAAGCCCAGCTCTGGCAAACACAAGCGTGTCTGTGTGTGTGTGTTAACACACGCACACGCGCTCTCTCTCTCTCTCACACACACACAGTTTGGATCTTTGGGATAATATAAATAAGTACTGGAAACAGCATTTCAGGTGGTAAAAATACCACATCTCTCCGCATTGTTCTGTCTCTGTCTCTCTGTCCCTCTGTCTCTTTCTCTGTCCCTTTCTGTCCATTTGTGTCATTCTTTGTCCCTGTGTCCCTCTCTGCCTGTCTCTGTCTCTCTGTCCATCTTTGTCTGCGTCTCTGTCTCTCTCTTCCAAGCGTTCCAGAATCCCTCTTCTTTCTCTCTGACACAAATGAAAATAGAATGACAAAATAAATTCAGCGGTGGCTTTCCTGGACAGCGTCTAACCTTGAGCCACAGACGTGGACACTTTGTACGACAGACACTATCCACTCGCTCGATCATCGTAGTCAAAAGTGGAACGTTTGTTAGTGATTGGCTGCTGGTAGCATCACAGAGCCGGTGCTTAAGAAACATCAGACGCGGTTTGGGGAGGCTTCATCAGAAATCTGACTCGAATCTAACGCCATCCGCCGCCTGAGCCCTCGGGTGGAAGTCTCATCGCCCACCTTACCACACATCCACAGCCCGACATGCGTACCTTTGGTCTCCCCTCGGTCAGGCTCCTGGAAATTCGGGAAGTTTACAACAGCGTAAGTGGCTTCTTCAGACATGGAGGGACGCGGAAAGCACACAGAATGAAATCCTGTTGTTAGAAGGCAGAGCTGACTGTTGGATGTTGGACGGAAAGTGGACACTGAGGCTTTGGGATCATCAGCAGCCGCCCTTCCCCAGCTGACCCTGTGACTAACCTGCCGAGCTGATCAGCTCCTCATCGCTGATCTCCGGCAGGACTGCATGACTGAGCCATGAGGAAACATTTCTCTTCCCCAGACTCTCTTCCTCTTTCTTATCACTACAATTGCCTCCTGCAGAATCTAGGTTTGTTGTGTTTCTGTTGGTTCTGGGGTTTGAATTCAATGCCATACACTCTGGCTGCACCTTCTTGCTCTAGCATGGTGCTCTACCACTTGAGTCAGGCCCCCAGTCCAGAATTTTGCTGGTTAGCTAGAGGCAGAGTTTGGAAGATTTGTCTGCCTAGGCTGGTTTTGAACTAGGGCCGTCCAAGTTTCAGTCTCCTGAGTAGTTAGGACACACAGGCATGAGCCACCAGCTCCTAGCTCACAAATGAGTGCTTTTTGTTTTTGTTAGGGTTTTATTGGTGTGTGTGTGTGTGTGTGTGTGTGTGTGTGTGTGTGTGTATGCTGGTCCTGGGGCTTGAACACTGTCCCTGAGCTTTTGTGGCCAAAACTAGCTCTCTACCATTTAAGCCTCAGCTCCACTTCTAGCTGTTTGGTGGTTAACTGGAGGTCAGAGTCTCATGAACTTCCCTGCCCCTCTGTGCGTGTGTAGTGGGACTTGAACTCAGAGCCTAGTCACTCTCCCTTGGCCTTTTTGCTCAAGACACACACTACTACGTGAGTCACAGCACCACTTCTGACTTGCTTCTGGATAATTTAGACAAGAGTCTCCTTCCTTCCTTCCTTCCTTCCTTCCTTCCTTCCTTCCTTCCTTCCTTCCCTCCTTCCTTCCTTCCTTCCTTCTTTCCTTCCTTCCCTCCTTCCTTCCTTCCCTCCTTCCTTCTTTCCTCCCTCCCTCCCTCCTTTCTTTCTTTCTTTCTCGCTGTTAGGATCTCCAATAGACAATACAGATTGTTGAATGAATTTCTTAATAAAGGTAATCATTATCTTATTCCTGAACAGAAAATACTCATTCTATTACTAGATGTATGATGTACACTATTTAATCTCCCACAAGGATTTGTTGTCTTTTGACAAACTCTTCATATGAGAGAAGTTCCCGGCTTGATTAAAGTGTTATTTTGGCTTGGGTATCACAACTGTCATCCCAACTAATCAGGAGGCTGAGACCTGAGGATCGTGGTTTGAAGCCAGACTGGGCAGGAAAAGTCCATGAAACTCTTTTTTCTCCATGAGATTTTTATGTCCAAAAAACTACTTAGAAAAAGCCAGATGTGGCGCTGTGGCTCAGGTGGTAGAGTGCTACTGTTGAGTAAAAGAACCTCAGGGACAATGGACAGACACTGAGTTCAAACCACGGGACTGACACGCACAACATGTTATTATGTCTGGCCAATATTATCTTCAGCAAAAGCTCTTCCTACGTCGATGGCAATGATGATTGTCCCTTCTCCTGTTTTCAAAGTGTTAATGAACCTGTATCCTGAGAATAAATCCAAGCTGGTCATAGTGTGTTTATGCTTTCCGTATCTTGCTGGACTTAGTTTTCGACAAGAGTTTTCCATAAGGTTGAAAGCTGATCTGTGGGAAAGCAGGGAAAATACTGAACTTAAAATGATAGGGTTCAGCCAGGCCCCAGTGGCTCCCACCTGACATCCTGGTTACTCAGGAGGCTGAGATCTAAGGTTCGCAGGTGGAGGCCACGCTGGACAGGAAGGTCCATGAGACTTGTACCTCCAATGGACCACCTCAAAACCTGAAGTGGAGCTGTGGTTCAAAATGGTAGAGCGCCAGCCTTGAGTGCAAATGCTTAGGGACAGTGCTCACTCCCTGAGTTCAAGCCCTATGCCCCATACAAACCAATAAAATAGAACAGAATTCCAGATTTCGCTAGGAAAGCCTGTCTTGATGCAGAACAGATTCTGGACTGAATATTGAGTTCCAGACATAGCTTTCTTTTTCACGCGCCAGTCCTGGGGCTTGAACTCAGGGCCTAGGGGCTGTTCCTGAGTTTCTTTTTCTCAAGGCTTGTGCTCTACCACTTGAGCCACAGTTCCACTTCCGGGTTTTTGCCGGCTCATTGGAGATAAGTCTCACCGATTTTCCTGCATAGCCTGGCCTTGAACCGTGACCCTCAAATCTCAGCTCCTGAATAGCTGGGATTACAGGAGTGAGCCACTAGTGCCCGGCAATGGATTATTTTCTCACACACAGCAAATGAGGAGCAAGAGGGAAATGGAAAGATACAAATGTTCAGAGAGGCAGAAGTCTGTTGGCGAATTTTTATTCCATTCGTGGGAGGCAGGAGACACACGCTAGCATTGGGTCCTTCTAACCACAGGAGAGCATCTGCTGCGGGCTGTCATCTGGAACGTGAACGAAGCACGCTTTCCACCCGCACGGGACCAGCCGTTTTCTCACATATCACGTATCTCCTTCCAGTACAGGAGTTAAAATAAATATACTGTCCTTCCAAATAGCCGCAGCGCATTGTGTTTAAGCCGTTCAGGTTGTTTTGAGCCCTAAAAGAGGAAAAACAGTAAACCACTGTAGACGTCAACTACTTGAGCTAGACACCCACAGAAACGCTTCTGCTACCCGACACCATGGCCCTCCAGTCCGTATTGCCTAAGGGAAATGTGGAGATAACTCGTCCAGGGGATTTCCCTTCTGCCTGTCAGTTCATGAGCGCCACGCATGTGGATCACGTCCAACTTCTCATCCTTCCCCCCATGTCCCCCCGAACCCCCCTCACGTTCTCTGTCCCCATTCTCACATGTGGAGGTTAAATATTAGGAAGGGCGCCATCCTGAGCATTTGTGCTACCCAGGAAACTGAGGTCGGAGGATCAGGGTTCAAAGCCACCCAGGCAGGAAAGGTGGTGAGATGCTTCACTCGAATTAAATCAAGCAAAAATGTTCGCAGTGGCGCTGTGGCTCACGTGGTCCAGAGCACGAGCCTTGAGTCAAAAAGCCCAAGGCAGCGCCTGGGCCCTGAGTTCAAGCCCTGGGACAAGCATAAAAATAAAAGAAGCCGGGCGCCGGTGGCTCATGCCTGTCATCCCAGCTACTCAGGAGGCTGAGATCTGAGGATCGCGGTTCAAAGCCAGCCTGGGTGGGAAAGTCCGTGAGACTCTGATCTCCAATAAACCACCAGAAAACTGGTAGTGGCGCTGTGGCTCAAGTGGTAGAGCACCAGCCTTGAGCTGAAGAGCTGAGGGACAGCGCCCAGGCCCAGAGTTCAGGCCCCATGATGGACCAAAAAGTAAAGAAATTAGACAAGACAATAAAAGAAAAATATTAGAAAACAAGAGAAACTTACCAGAGAGAGGAGTTGACAGTCTGATTCATCGAGTAGTTGCCATTTTGTCTAGGAGATGCTTCAAGCCAATAGCTGTCTGTCTCCATGGACTGTATAAACTCCTAAAAACAAAGATGCTCAATGTACAAAGTTATCTCTGGCCGGGCACTGGTGGCTCGCGCCTGTCATCCCAGCTACTCAGGAGGCTGAGATCTGAGGACGGAAAGTCCCTGAGACTCTTATCTCCAGGGAACCACCCCAAAAACACACAAGAAAAGGCAGAGGTGGAGCTGTGGCTGACATTGGGGAGGATCAGCCTTGAGCCACAAAGCTCCAGGACAGCGCCCAGGCCCTGAGTTCAAGTCCTAGAACTGACACAAAAATAGCTCTCTATACAGACTTCTGCATATCACCAGTCAAACGATTGTTTTCAAACAGTATTTTCAAAATTGCATTACTACTCTGTGTGTGTGTGTGTGTATGTGTGTGTGTGTGTGCTCAAGAGGTGTTCACAGCCCTGAGTTCAAGACCCACATCTGTCACACAAAAAAGAAAGAAAGAATAAAGGAAGGAAGGAAGGAAGGAAGGAAGGAAGGAAGGAAGGGCAAAAGAGAAAGAAAGAAAAGCAATCCAGCAAAGGCAGAGCAGTGTAGTTATAAGAGGGATTCGGTTCTTATTCCTCCTAACTATATTGTGTTGAGTCAGTAAACTGTCAGAGCACCATTTTAGAAAGATCCAGTGAGAAAGACATACCAGATTTTGCCTCTTCTAGAAAGGATGAAAGAAGTTCCAGTCCTAGAGCTTGAACTCAGGGCTTGGGCGCTGTCCCTGAGCTCTTTTGCTCAAGGCTGGCGCTCTACCGCTTTGAGTCTCAGCTCCACTTCCCGTGTTCTGGTAGTTTTTTAGATAGGAGTCTCATGACCTTTCCTGTCCAGGCTGGCTTTGAACCTTGATCCTCAGATCTCAGACTCTTGAGTGGCTGGGGTGACAGGCGGGAGCCACCGGTGCTCAGCCACCTCTTCTTGTTCTGTGATAGGAAACGCCATTTTCTTTCTTACTGAGAGACTCAGAGACTTACCACGCTATTCTTGTTAATACTCAACACGCTGGCGTTGCGGTCGGCGCATGACTTTACGCTGTTTTGCCATGTGTCAGAAACGCGGTGTAGAAGGTAGCATGCATCTGCATGCCAGATCCAGTTCTGTGCACAGGGATTGCACGTGTGCTCTGGAAGGAAAACGCCCTTTACTTTGTTTTATGTGGCTAGATCTTCAGCCCTTACTTCTCTATGGGACGTGGACCCAGCTTACTGCGTTTTCGTTTAGTAATATTTAAGTTTATTTTGTATAGTTCGGGGGCCTTGAACTCAGAATCTCCTGCTCTTCCTTAGCTTTTTCACTCAAAGCTGATCCTATACCATTTGAGCCACAACTCCACTTCTGGCTTTTTGCTGGTAAACTGGAGAGAAGAGTTTCACAGACTTTCCTGCATGGGTTGGCTTTGAACCATGATCCTCAGAACTCAGCCTTTTCAGTAGCTAGGATGACAGGCATGAGCCACCAGTGCCCGGCTTTTACTGACTGGAATTTTGAACTGAGACCATCTATAGAGAAGTGTGTTTTCCTATCTATCATTTACTGGTCTTCATAGTAAATTGATATTTTACGTAAACTTTAAAATAACAAAAAATTTAAATCATATATTGAAATTAGAGAAATTGATTTAATTATATTTTAGTAAAGCTGCAGATTAAGGAAAATACATATCGTCTGAATACTCCTGTATAACCATGATAGCTGGGTAATTGGGTGTTATGTTGTTGTTATTAATTTCTGATTTTCTTCTAATTATATGAAACTGTCAACAATGCTTAATTCTTTTCTTCGTCAATGAATCTAGCTGGACACCAGTGGTGCTGGCCTGGAATCCCAGCTACTCGGGAGGCTGAGATCTGAAGATTAGTGTTCAAAGCCAGCCTAAGCAGGAAATTCCGTGAGATTCTTACCTTAAATTATCAGCAATCAGCCGGAAGCAGTGCTGTGTGTGGCTCAAGTGATTGAGCTCCATGTAGCCCAGAGCAAAAAAGCCAAGGGACACAGCCCAGGCCCCGAGTTCAAGCCCCAGGATCCCAACACACACACACACACACACACACAGACACACACACACACACACACACACACACACACACATGGTAGCCTTAGTTCCTAGTCTCATACGCAGCCCTCAGGTAATACAGAATTACCTGGCTCCTTTTCCTGTAGCTCCTGACACAGCCGGGTGGCCAGGGTTTGCACGGTGATAGATTGGTTCTGGATCTTCTCATTGAGGTTCTGGATCTTCTCATTGAGGTTCTGGATCTTCTCAGGACTGTTGACATTCCCCATGTGTTGTAGCGACATGTTTCTCGGAAGCTCTTCTTGGACATTTTGCTGTTTATAAACTCAAATCCAGACACAGAGAGAGAATCCAAAAAGACACATGAAAACCTTCAATATCATGACCTTAAGGGTTGTTTTGCACAAGGAATACTAAAAAAAACCCAGGGGGAACAGGAGGCATGGCTCACGTGGTAGAATGCCAACTGTGAGACCAACAGCTGGGCAGGAGCACTAGGCTCTGAGCCAGGGGACAGTGGCTCCCGCCTGTCATCCCAGCCGTGCAGGAGGCTGAGATCTGAGGATCACCGTTGGAAGCCAGCCTGGGCAGGAACGTCCCTGAGACTCTCACCTTCAGTGAGCCAGCAACAAGTCAGTGGAGCTGGGGCTCACATGGAAGAGCTCTGGTCTGGAGTGGGAAAGCAGCGGCAGCGTCCAGACTCTGAGCTCCCGCCCCAGACCCAGAGCACACACAGAGCAAGGGGGATACCTACTCAGGATCCAAAAGACTTTTAACCCAATGAGGAGCAGCAGAAGGAGGACGAGAGTCAGACGAAAAGCTGTTTTAACCCATAGATGGGAGGGTGCTGTGGAACACAGAAGCAGCAGAGAGTTCTCAAAACAGTGTGCTTTCATTCATTCATTCACAGAACAGCATTCAGTCATTCAATTTGCCTTAATTCCTTTCCTACTACCTGTCGAAGGATTTAATTTGTTAGACACTCTACCACACACACACACACACACAAATCCTCTGATGCATTATACTCACAAAATGAAACCCTTTGTACAACTACTTCAAGATATAATAGTTAGATAAAGCAAAACAAAGCAAAAGCCAGGATCAAGCTGCTCACACCTTTAATCCCAGCTACTCAGGGGGCTGAGATCTGAGGATCACGGTTCAAATCCAGCCTGGGCAGGAACTCTTATCTCCAATGAACACCAAAAAAGCTGGAAGTGGCACTGTGGCTCAAGGGGTAGAGCGCCATCTTTGAACACAAAAGCCCAGGGATGGGCTTTAAGCCCAGCCCCAGCACAAAAAAATATAAATTAAAAAAAAAGAATGACACTGGTTTTATCGACATGAATTCACATACTGTCTGTCCGACCCACGAACACGATTGTACAAAGTATGAACGAATAAAAGCAGGCTAAAAAATTACCTAGCTGTTCAAAGGTGTTTCCAGACAACGAGCCCAAGTTGGGGGTCTAAAGCATCTCAAAAAAACCAGGTCTTTTAGGCAAAAAAAAAAATTGTTTGTTTTCCACAAATAGGACTGAAAACTGCGGAAAAGGACTATTTGCAAGTATAAGAACAGAAGGAGAATCCGTTGGAGATTCTGTTTTCCAGGCTGAAAGTGTCAGGGAGAGAGATGGTGTGTGTGTGTGTGTGTAAAGTTAACTGGAATTCGACCCTGACAGGTGTGAAGATGTTAACAGTGAATTCTATCCTGAATAAATGAATAAGCCAAAATGAAATGTTGATAGCAAAACCCCTTAGAAGCTGGGTGCTGGTGGCTCCCGCCTGTCATCCTAGCTACTCAGGAGGCTGAGATCTGAGGATCACAGTTCAAAGCCAGCTGGGGCAGAAAAGTCTGTGAGACTCTTCTCTCCAATGAAGCACCAGAAAACTGGAAGTGGTGCTGTGGCTCAAATGGTAGAGCACCAGTCTTGAGCTGAAGAGCTCAGGGACAGTGCCCAGGCCCTGAGTTCAAGCTCTGCAATCGAACAAAAACCCCAAAGAAAAAATACACATTAGGAATCACACTACGGCTTCTTGTTTTGTTTTGCTTTCTGGCTGTGTTTATGCCAGTATGAGGGCTTGAACTCAGGACCTGAGTGCTGGCCCCGACAGTGTTTTGGTTAAGGCTGGTGCTCTACCACTTGAGTCACAGCTCTACTTCCCGCTTTTTGCTGGTTAACTGGAGATGAGGCTCAGGGACTTTTCTGCCCTGGCTGGCTTAGAACCATGACCGCAGATCTCAGCCTCCTGATCGCTCAAATTACAGGCCTGATCCGCTGGCACCCTGTGAACTGGAACTGTACGCACCACTGAGCCACCTTCCCAGCCCAGCATGAGTTATTCTTGGGTCATTACAGGATGTCTATCCTCATCGATGCGGGTGTGTGAAGACTATTTCAAATAAATGTATTCTAGGATAGCATCAGGATCTAACCACACTTCTGGAACACAGGAACTGTCTTACACCACAGTTGATGCTGAAGTAACTGTATCCAGAGGGAACTGAAAGAAACATTAGGAAACTTCATTTCTTTCCTTTCTTTTCTTTTTGTTTTTGGTGGGTCGTGGGGCCTGAACTCCAGGCCTGGGCGCCGTCCCTCAGCTCTTCAGCTCAAGGCTGGTGCCCTACCACTTGAGCCACAGCGCCACTTCTGGGTTTTTTTTCTGCTTATGTGGTGCTAAGGACTTGAACCCAGAGCCTCACTCACTACGCCAACTTCCCAGCCTCGAAAGTTCATTTCTTAGATGGAGGAAAATGACCTTCACTGAAGAGAATGACAGGGTGAAGATCTTAGCGTAGGTCAGGAAGATAAATTCAAGAGCTGTTTTTAGGCCAGGCACCGGTGGCTCATGCCTGTAACCTCAGCCACTCAGGAGGCTGAGATCTGAGGATGGTGACACAAAGCCAGCCCGGCAGCAAGGTCCGTGAGACATTTTCTTTCCAATGAACCAGTAAAATTATGGAAGTGGAGCTGTGTCTCAAGCGGTAGAGCGCCAGCCTCGAGGGAAAAAGTCAAGTGAGAGTTCTTGGTCTTGAGTTCAAGCCCCAGCACCAGCAAACATGTGCATGGGCACACACACACACACACACACACACACACACACACATACACACACACACACACACACACAGTGTAGATCTTTTGGACAATACAAATCAGCACTGGAGAGAATATTACAGGTAATAAAAATAATCACATCTGTCTTCATCACTCTGTCCTGCCTGCCTGCTTGCCTGTCTGTCTGTCTGTCTGCCTGCCTGCCTGCCTGCCTGCCTGTCTGTCTGCCTGCCTGCCT